CAGTCACTAGAGAACATATTATAAAGCCTGAGCAACGAATATTTTGGAGCGACTCGACGACAGTGCTGCAATGGATAAGAAATGACGCTCGCGACTATAAAGTTTATGTGGCAAATCGTTTGGGTGAAATTGATGAGTTAACAAAAATAAAAGAATGGCGTTATGTTCCCACTAAATTAAACGTCGCTGATATTGCAACAAGAGAAAACTATAAATTCCCGGCCCTCCAAGATGAATGGTTGTATGGACCTACCTTCTTACGCCACGAAGCAAACGAATGGCCTCACGACTTCATAAGCGACAGAAAAGAAACACTGCCAGAATGTATTACTTTGATAAAAGTTGAAGTACAGGAAATTAACTTACCTGTACCTGATGCTACTAGATTTAGTTCTTGGCTTCGCTTGCTTCGATCCACTTCATTAGTACTCAAGTTTATAAACAAATGCAAAAAACTTACCTTTGAATTCGACGATACTATGGAGAAAGCTGAAATATTGTTACTGAAAAAATCACAAGCTGAATCGTTTAAAAAAGAGTTAACTGAAATAAAAAACAGTGGATGTGTATCAAAAACAAGTAATATACTTACCTTATCCCCTTACTTAGATGAGTATGGAGTTATACGAGTCGGTGGCCGCATCGGTGCTGCTACTGGCATTCTACCTGAATCAAAAAACCCTATTATACTAGACGGAAGAAGCTACATTGCTAGATTGATCGTGAAATATTATCATTATTACTACGCACACGGAAATCAAGAAACAATAGTAAATGAAGTCAAACAAAGATACTGGATCACAAGACTGAGACCTACCGTTAAACATATAACATCTAAATGCTCATTTTGTAGAATAAGAAAATCTAAACCAGAAGTACAAAGAATGGGTGACTTACCTAGCGCGCGAATGGCTCATCAGCAACGACCTTTTACTTATTGCGGCGTGGATTTATTTGGTCCCATGGAAGTCACGGTAGGAAGACGCCGGGAAAAAAGATACGGCGTCCTGTTTACGTGCTTGACGGTACGAGCTATTCATCTGGAACTAGTCAATAATCTTACCGCGGACTCATTCATTATGGCATTACGAAGGATGGCCGCAAAACGTGGATGGCCACAATATATGTACTCCGATAATGGAACAAACTTGCGAGGAGCGAATACGGAACTGAAGAAATCTATAAAAAATCTAGACGAAGATGTGTTGAAAGATAAGGCTTCCAATCACGAAATCAAATGAACCTTCATACCGCCCGCGAGTCCCCACTGGGGTGGGGCATGGGAATTTTAACTAGATCGGTCACGCGCATCGCTCGATTACGAGTTCAGAGTGAGTGCTGCTGAGGCAGCACTGGGGTGGGGCGTGTTAGCGATGCGTTAAATATAAATTTGGAGCTGTGATTAGTATATTTGGTGTATGTTTGTTTGTATGATGAATTCGTTTTGTTAGGATAAGTTAACAAAAGTTTTAGCTTAGTTTTAAATTAACAAGATTTGTAAGAGGGAGTGCGCGGGGTTCAACGAGAGGTGAGGGGGCCTCGGACCGATGACCTGAGGCGAACGAAGTCAGTGCTGTGACCAAAGCAACGAACGCCGCGCGCTTCCTAACCACTAAAGTTTTGTCATCCGACGCCACTATGATAATAAATATTTTTCTCACAAAACCTCTGTTAGTGCATTCCACGAACCTGCGAACCAACATAAATTACAAGTATATGTACAAATTCTAAATTAAATATCTTGCATGTACTAACTACCATGTAATTATCATTTTGGAAAATAAAAAATAGTCAAATTATCTTTGGAGTTTATTTTATAAATTATCTTTGGAAGCAATTATTTATAAGTACATAGTTGTATTTCAGATGTAAGTTTTGAAAAATTGTTACGAACAATTATATTATTTTCCTGTAATGTATCTGCGACTGAAATTTCTGATTCTAATTCTTCTAAATTCATACTTCTGATGATATTATGCAGCATGGCAGCTATAATAACAGCTTGCATATTTTCTAGTTTTAATCTACTTTTCAATGATATACAGGGAGTCTTCTTTTACAAACACCAATGCATCTGAAAATTATACATTATTCGCTTAAATTATTTTACAATACAGTATAACAAGCTCTTAACTAAAAAAAAAGATTACCTCTCTATAGTATTTCTTGTTTTAATATGTGATTCATTTTAAATCGTTCCGATTGAGTATGTGGGTTAATTAATCACGTTAAAAGATAGGGTTGTGGGGATAGCCTATATCGGCAAGCAAATAGCAATTTCCAAGTCCACCTTGTTATCAATGTTCTCTTGATATGTAGATAATTTATTATAATAGTGTCATATTAAATTCATATAAACACCTAAATATATAATATAAATAATAATATAAATAATAAATATAATAATAATAATATAAATAAGGTAATATAAATAAGAAATACCTTTTCAATCGGAATGGTTAATTATAGTTGTATCATGAGTAGACCCAGGCCATCAAGCAACAACATTTTGAAACATCAATGATGCATTGCACACAAATTACAGATTCAAAATACTTACACATTCAAAATACTCTTTTTCTATTTCTAAATTCCTCTCCTATATTTGAATCTGTAACACAAATATAAAATGTAGAGGTATCAGTGTGTAATAAGAATGAAGGTAAATAGCCTACCAGGTTATTGTATTAGTATATGAATGTCATTTAGGGCACCATGGGAATCCAGCAGTATTATAGAATTCCTGTTGAGTGTGATTTTGTAACACAACAAAAATTAGGTATAATTTTGCTATTGCTATAAACAAATATAAGTTGTAATAACGAGTACTTTTATGGTTAAAATTTATCTTACCTTTTTGACGTTACACTCAAATATGGTCTCATTAAATTAATCAATTCATTCA